CTCTATACCACTGCACCACCTAGCTTCCCCTTAAGTACTAGATTACCAGGACTCAAATTAGTAGGCCCTGACAAACACCATAACCACAAGCACAAGTACTGAAATGCCCCAAAAGGGTTTCAATTACAAAAGGAGCCCACCACAGGACAGGGTCCATCTTTGCAGAGAAGGTATTCCAGCTCTACTTGATACGTGCATAAAAGATCAGATGGGTTTACTTTAGGGGGAAGAGCTGGAAAAAAATCTATGGTATACTCCATTTTCATACCAATAGATTCAGGGTAAAAAGTAAAGTATATATGTTACATCTCATCTGCGAGGAGCAGGTTGTGCAACAAAATTGGGAGATCAGGGCTGAACAGAGACCTGTTCTGGCCAGACACCTCCCCTGCTGGTTCCCTGACTTGCCCCTCCCCTTTGTAACCCAGCTTGGAGGACCCCCAGGGCTTCTAAGTCTTGATTTCAGTCACTACCACTTTTAGGTCTTCATGAAATAAAGAATATTCCAGGGTAGCTCAGGATACCAGTAGCAGGTCAAGGCAAAAGCAAGAGAAAAGGTTAAAAAAGAATCAACAGGTGTGCAGAGTAGAATGTGACTACCAATGATCTGTACCTATACCAGTGGCCACTACTCCTACTTGCTGAGGAGCAGCAAGGTCTGTCACACAAAAGCTGACAAGTCCCAAAGCATCTTTGTAGGCCTCTATTCTACTGGGGATGCAGCAGAAGTGCAAACGACCCATACTCTTGGTTTCTCTCAGAATGAGGGATCATTAGTATCCAAATAGAAATCAGCACTGTAATGCTTCTAAGAAAAGGTTTATAAGCCACTTGGATTGGAGGAAGGCTGCTTTCTTTTCATAACCACCTCATCATCAAAAAGTGACTAAGTACCAACCTGTTCATGGCACAGCATGGAGATAAAGTGATATCAAGCCTGGTTCCTACACTCTAGGTGCCAATGATCTGAAATAGCATTGCCCTCTCCAGCCCAGACTACTCTGTTGGGATGCCAAAGTAAAACATGCTCTGCTGCACACGTGTTTCAGGTATTGAAAGCAAGCAAGGGGGAGAGAAAGAGGATGTTAAGAAATATGGCTCAAAGGTTGTCCCCACCTGCCCAGCCCTATTGGGGGATAAGAAGAGGCCAGCAGGGAAAGGAAAGGACAGCTCACTGAAATCCAGCGAGGAAAGGAGAATGCAATTTTCTTGCTACTAGGAATAGATTAATTGTACTAGGGAAAAAATTCCTGCCCTCCACTAAACTTGATTCACTAAAGTACACCGTCTTCATCACTTCCTCAAGCAGTGTGCATACAGGTAGGAAAGACAAAATAGGAAATTTAAACTCCAACTGCTATTTCTGAGTAGGGCTATAAGCTAGTCATCAAAAATATGGTAATACATCACATATCTAAAACAAAAATCCATTTTAAAAAGAGAAACCTGCCCAATGGTAGGAATCAGGCATTAATAGTTTTTGAAAGTCAACAGAAACCTATGAAACAAAAACTGTAGTGCTTACAAGGTACTCCTCAAGAAAAACTATAGTCACCACAAATACTGGCTCAAGGTGAGCTATAAGAACTTCCTGTGACATGTAGGGGTCTCCTCTTAGGCAGATACAAATATCAAATGTAAGTCATGGCCTCAAAGAACCAAGTCAAACAGTCTTTGGTCTCTATTTTGGATTCAGATGGTTTCCGAGGCTATGACCACTCTGGAGCAGCTGATTCACACCCCCAAGTCACCAACAAAAGAGACATGAACTTAATGTGCTCCTTTGGAGGGCAGGTTTCTGTTTAGGTAAGAACTTATATTCACTGACATAAATACAGTTGTATAAAGTTTCATAATTGTATCAAAACTCTAAAGCTATCCATTCTGGAACCACAAGATGCCTGAACCTGTTGCTTTAGGGTGAAACATCCAGCCCCAACACCCTTCGCCCTCTGGGAGGTCCCTAGCTTACTTCCCCTTCCAGGGAAAGCCAAGAGACAGCTGTCCTAGGAGGAGCCATCCCCCAGAGGAAGCTTGGAAAACACTCACGTGCTCTGGGAGGAGGGGGCCAACCCAGGAGCAAAGAGACAGTAGAGATAGTGGACTTATCCACTCTGAGCTGTAGCTAAGATTGAGCAAACTGCTGGGGATGAAAGGGAAAATATTCATAAAAGGGGATTATACCTACAGGAAAAGGGTATTATAAATCCTTTTCATGGTGGGAGGAAAAAGTGAAGGAGGCACCCCCTTCTCACCTCTACTCCCTAAAGACAAGCAGACCTGAAGCTCTGCTCTGAGGAGGAATGACCCAGGGTCCACAGCCTGGGGAAAGGACAATAAAATACAGAAGATAGGAAGGAAAAATGTAGGAGAGAAAAGGGAAGCTAAGCAGGGGGCTAGCGTCTGGGGGAGGAAAAAAAAAGAAATATACATGATGTAGTGGAATATGCTGCCCTTGGCTTCAGGAAGACCTGAGTTCCAATACGACCTCAAGACACTTACTAGCTGAGCGACCCTGGGCAAGTCACTTCACTTCTGATTGCCTCAGTTTCCTCAACTGTAAAACCGGGATGATTACAGCACCTACCTCACAAGGTTGTTGTGAGGGTCAAAATGTTTGTAAAGCGCTTAGCACAGTGGCTGGCACATAGTAGGTGTGCTTAATAAATGGTTGTTTCTCCCCCTCCCCCCATATCAGTGGCAGGGAAAAGTGGCTGAGGAGGTCTCGGCCACAGAGGAAAAAAATCAGGACAAGAGCCAGCTCTCCCTGGCCAGGACAGGTAAAAGCGCACAGTTTCCGGGGGGCGGGGAAGAAGGGGAACGCCCCCCACAGCTGGAGGAGGGGAGGGGCGCAGCGGCCGCAGCCCCGCAGGCGACACCCCCAAGACCAAGGACCGGTCACGACCTGGGCCTCAAGACCACGGGCGGGGGGATGGCCCTGGGTCGTCAGGGTCGTTGAAAAGGGGGAGAAAGAGGGGCTCGCTGAGGCCTGAGCCGGGCAGGGCAGGACGCGCCGCGGGACTCAGTTCCCCTCGGGCTGGGCGTAGACAGAAGAGACCCCCCCACACACAACCCGTCTGACTACGGGTCGGGGGAGGGGTCAGATGCCGGGACCCTGGGAGGGGCCAGTGTCCCCTCAACTGGGGTCGGGCGGAGAGAGGGTAGGAGGGATAAAGGAGGGAAGGGCGAGGCCTGGCAGGGTTGGGGCGCGGGCGGGAGCCCACGGAGGTCCTGGGGCAGGCTTACTCACTGAAGCTTTGGGGCGACGGGGCTGCTGGGGCCGGCTCTGCGGACTGGCTCCGCTCCTCTCCCCCCCGGCAGTGTCCCAGGCTCCGGCCTCCACTTCCGCCTTTCAGCCGCTCCGGATCCGGATCTTCCTAGTTTGCCCCGCCCCTCTCCGGTCCCGGTTGACTGACATAGACCTGAGACCAATGGGAAGGAGGCTCTCCCGGCACGCTCGCTGAGCCGGCAGGGGGCGATGTCGCGGCGGGAAAAAGGACTTGGGGGCGGGGTGTCCTGGGACTTGTAGTTCGTGGCATTGGGCGGAGAGAAGCAACTTTGAGCTCCGGAATTGGGGTGGAGCGCGCTGCAGACTAGGCGGGGCCCGCCGATCCTGACGCTGTAAGGGCCTGGGGACCCTGGCCGGAGAAGAAGAGTAGGGGCTGCAACCCGGGTTGGGAGGGCGCATTGTAATTAGTGGGCTATAAAAAATGTTTAACCTAAAGAGGTTGTCAGCCCCAGTGCATTTTCTAATAGAGCTTCGGGGATTCCCCCCACCTTCTCCCGTCCCTCTCTTGCAGTTCTATTTAATTCAATTCAACAAACCGCAGACCCACATCCCACTACCCCATTCAGCAAATGAACATTGCAGTCTCATCAGCAGTCTGAGTTAGAAGGGAACTTAGAAATCAAGTGGACCAAATCCCTTTGTGTTTTGCAGCTGGAGAAACTGAGGCCAGACTTGCCCAAGATGCCCGAGAGTTAGTGGCAGAGGCAAAACTAAAAGCTAGGTTTCCTGAATCTCAGAACAAAGGATCATCTCTTTGATATCACAATGTACTCCAGACCCAGGAGAAAGACTTCAGGATGAGAGTAGGGGGAAAACGTAATCGTGACCATTTCGGAAAGGGGGGAGGGGAAGGTTAAAATGGTTGCAGGTTGGTAGGGAGGAAATACTACAAGAAAGGCGGCTAGAATATACATCCCAGGAAACCAGGCCAAGAAAGCCAACCTCTGTCTTCTGCCACCCAATGGAAATAATATCCTATATTTGTTCTGGGACCCGAGATAACCTCAGAGACAGGACAGAATGTTGTTCCCAAGGATACTGCCCTCTTGTTTTGGCCTAGCGAGAATTAGTTACTCTGAGACCATCCCACAACTCTACAATTCCTCCCCATCTCTAACACCATCTGTCCACTGAAGCGGCCCGCCCCCCACCCCAAGATGCAGGGGAAGGTAGAGACACAGGAGTGTGGAGGTGGAGGGTTGGGAGGGGTATAAGTTATAAATATCCAGTAGGTGGGTGGGAGTGGGGAAGAATGGGAGACACAGAAGATCCTAGGCAGATGACACATGCTCCTTCTCAGACACAGCTGCATTTCAACACTAGGGACAAGGAGAATGGGGCGTGGATTTTACAAGGGGAAGGGGAATGATCCCATCTGACAGAGCCCCCTTCCTACTACCCTCTGTTTGTTGGACTGGGGTGGGGGGAACAGGGCTTTGTCTCTCCCAAGTGCTGTATAGGGGGAGGTAAGTTAGATGCTGTAATGGGTCCCAGGAGCATTTGTTAAGGATTCCCCACCCCCTGCCCTCCAGGGTCACTGGTGTCATGAATATTGTGCCAGGCAGGTTGGTGCCTTTGCTCCTCCTAGAGATGGCAACAGGGGCCCTAGGGTGCAGTGCAGGGAGGGCCTTTGCAGTGCCCTGCTTTTCTTGCCTCCTCTGAGCCTTAGGAGCTTCCCAGTACATCCCAAGAAACAACCAGGTCCAACAGCTACAAAAATAAAGAGAATTTTATTTCCCCTATGAGAGTCAGAGAGAGGAAAAAGAAGGTTCTCTAGAGGAGAATAGGGGATGAGAGGATATGGCCCAATGCTCAGGGAGCAGGAATGGTTTATGTGGAGAGGGGACCCTGAGTGTGAGACAGAACAGGGAGGGAGGTAGATGGGCTGAGTCACAGTTGGGGAACTGGAGGAAGGGATCTGGAGTGGAGAGCTTGGAAAGGGTGGTTCCTGGGAATATCTGAAGGGTCGTCCACAGCCAGACTGGTCACCTTGAGCTGGAACCTAAGAGACATAAAACACACACATGTACAACAAGAGCTAAAGATGTACTTAGAGATACAGGGAAAGGTACTAATTAGTGGATGCTCCTTTTGCCTCCCTCCTTGCCATCCCCCCAAACTACTCTATTCCAAGACCAGGTCAGTTTGGGGGAATAGAGCTTGGAGCTGTATTGATATCACTAAGGGGTGATAACTGGGCTGGACTTGGTAGTCAAGAGACCTGAATTTGAATCCTGGCTGTGATACTTCATAGGTGGGTGACCACATACTAGTCACCATCTTGTCTCTGAATCTTTCCTCATTCTTGAAAGGGGGATGTAATACTACCTACTTCCCAGAGAGCTATGAGAAAAATACTTTGTAACCTTTAAAGCAGTAAGCAAATGGGAGCCAAAGAGTATATATACCCCTCTTATGCTGGGCCCATGGGGGGCTTCTCTCACTCCCTTTCTTAATGGGTACAGTTTTTGTCCCTAGGGAATCTCTGTCTTGATTCCTGGATGGGCAGGGTGGTGTATTGGACTGAACATCAGATTTAAAAGTCAGGAAGACTAAATTTTGAATCTTGCCTCAAACACTTAATAGCTTGGGCAAGTCACCAAGCCTCAGTTTCCCCAAGTGTAAATGAGGGGGTTGGAATTGGTGACCTCAAAAGTCCCTTCTGGTTCTAAATCTATAATCCCATGAATATTCTCAGCCTAGGCTGTATGATGCCTAAAGAATATACGTGCTTGGAGATCTCTCATCACGACTGAAGACTTCAGATCCCCTGCTTTCCCCAACTCAGAGGGTGAGGGCAGAGGGGAGTGTTTCTCATCCTCACCAAGTGATCTCAAGAGAAAAATCTCATTTCCCTCCCTCCCTGTTCCAGCCATTCCTAACCCCCTGGGCAGGAAGTCCTTCCTGCAATCTAACTTTTCATACCTGTTACAGTTTCAGCAAGAGACAGAAACCACTTAGGTCCTTATTGTCTGTCCAATAGAAGAGTTCAGCTGTGCCTTTGGAGACTCCCAGCTTCTTTCCTCAAACTTCACTTCCCCAGGCAGGAAAACCTCCAGGACTTTTCACTTCTGCCCCTGGAGTCTTCCCCATTTAGCCTAGCCTTGTTCACTCACCATTCCCTGCCACCCCCACCCTCCCACCACTCCTCCCTACCTGCTTTCAGGTCACCTGGGAGAAGGCACTTCCTCTGCCCAGTCTGACGAAGGCACAACTCCTTGTCTCATGCCCACTGGGCATGGTTGGCTCAGATGGCTCCACCAGGAGTACAGGGGCAGAAAGGAAAGGATGAAAGAGGGAGTGGGGTCAGGGTTCACCACCATTTGTCACACCTCTGAAGTCCAGAGGACTCTACGATGACCAGTCCAGCCAGTGGCTTTTGACCCTGTAGTGGGCAGGCAAAGTTCCCAAACCCTCCCAGGGGGGTGACCCAAGCCCCCACTGGATAGGCCTGGACCCCAAAACCGTGGTCAGTGGAAAGTGTCTGAACTAGAGTGAAAGTGATATTGGTTGGTGCTCTGGAGTGGAGCTGAGCCATTGGGGAAGACAGAACCAGCAGGTGGAGATGGCACTTCCAGCCCAGATGATGGTCTTAGCAGGGCAGGCCGAGAGGCAGTGCTAGAAGGGCGTAGCTGTGGGGGGCGTAGGGTTGGTGTGGCAGGCCTGGAGCTCCGGGGAGAGGTCCCCATTTCCGATTCCCTCAGTCCAGCTGGGGGAGAACTTTGGGGACAGTGGACCTCAGCACATGTGGTATCTTGGGTCACAGGGCATGGCTCAGTAAACAATGGAGAAACATAAAGAGGTCTTGGTGGTGGACATGGAGGAGTAGAAGGCCCAGTGGGAACAGGAAAGTCTGTGAAGGGGGTTTGGGTTGCCAGCCAGGCTTGAAGCAAACTCATCATGTGGCGAAGTTCCCTGCTGAGCTGAGACACTTCCTGGTTGAGGTGGGTGATCTGCAGAAAATATAGTTATTACTCTAGGCCTTTACTAAAATCCTCTTATTATGTTCTACTATGGAATTCACCCTGAATTCTACAAGGCTATGTTAATTTGGAATCATGCAAAGAGATTAACTAAAATTCCCATAACTTTTGACCCAGACACCCTACCATCATGCACATACCCCTAAGAAGGCCAATGGCAAAAACAAGAAAGGCCTCTTTAAAAGAAAATATTTATTGTAGCATTTTTTTAAAGTAGCAAAGAATTGGAAACAATGTAGATCATGGATGGGGAATGGCTAAGCAAGTTGTGGTACGTGGTGGAATGTTCTTGTTATGAAGGAAACCATGAATATAATGAATTCAGAGAAGTATGAAAAGATATAGGAATAGATGCAAAGTGAAGTAAAACATACAATAACTGCAACAGTGCAAAGAGGAAGAATGATAATAATAAAACAAGCAAAATTGAATAAGAGTGGCCACAAAGAAGAGAGACTGGAAAACATTCTGTCCCCCTGCCCACCCACCCCCTCCCCAGGTTTCTTGGTAGAGGGTTTGGAACGCACCACATATAAAGCCTGACTTTTTCAATATGTTGCCTATGTTTTGCTGAAATGTTCCCCCTCCCTTTTTTATTGTTTGTTATAAAGGATGGCTCTTTGGGAAGGGAAGAGATACCCTAGGAAATGTGGACACTATAAAAACCAAAGGTGCACAAATTTTCTTATGAATTAGCTAATGCCAATTAAGCCAGCACAAATTGATAAGAAAAGTCATTCAACAATATCAATTTAATAAGTCTTTTTAAAAATATCTGTCATCTCCAAAGGTCTCATGATGGAAAATGCTATCCACATCCAAAGAAAGAACTATGGAGTTTGAATGCAGATCGAAGCATACTATTTGCTACTTTTTTCTTCTGTTTTTTTTTTTGGTTTGTTTTCTATTTCTCGTGGTTCCTCCTATTGGTTCTAATACTTCCTTACAACATCACTAACATGAAAATATGTTTAATAGGAATGTATATGTAAAGCCTATACCAGATTTCATGCTGTCTTGGGGAGGGAGAGGACAGGGAAGGGGAGAAAAATTTTAAATTCAAAAGCTTATGGAAGTGATTGTTGATAAATCAAAATAAATTAATAACAAAAGAAAAAGAAAAATGTCTGTCAAAGGTGTAGAGAAATTAATCTATCCTGCCCTACAGGGCAATAGAAGGGGAAGGGGTAAGAGAAGGGGGGGATGATGGAAGAGAGGGCACATTGGAGGAAGAGGCATTCAGAATGCACACCATCTTGGGGTGGGGAGAGAGGAGAAATGGGGAGAAAATTTGGAACTCAAAATCTTGTGGCAGTGGATATTGAAAACTAAAAATAAATAAATAAATTAACTAATTAATAATAAAAAAGAAAAATGTCTGTGCTTTCAGATCACAAAAATTTCCCAAGATGGAAAGGGTTTGAGCATGGGCCCAGTGATGGATGGTGTATCCATGGTCTGAGATCCAGCCTAGATAAATGAAAAGTTGACTACAGGTGTTCATTTGCTTGTTTGCTTGTTTTCCTAACCATAGCAATTTGTGAAGACCTATCTACTGAGACAAGGAATTACTGTCATCTTTATTACTGGGAGAACCCACACACTGCTGAAACCATGGAACCTTGAAGAATAACTTCTAGGGAAATGTTAGTTTTTCTGGCTGTGGAGGACAAGATGGCATCAGAGATGGTACATAAGGGTAATATTAGGGAATGAAAGGTGGCTGTGATTGATGAGAAAGGAGTCAGAAACCAGCATGAGCCTACACTGCTGGGTTATTAGGGGCCTAGAGGTAATACAAAGGTTTGGATTTTAAATAGAACAAGGAGCAATATGGTATGATGGGGGTATGGGGATGGGAGGGAGATAAGTCCTCAATTTAGAGATAACTGGAATTGGAGTCAGAAAGTCCTGAGTTGGTAGGGATGTAGCTCAGTGGATAGCGGCCCTGGAGTCAAGAGAACCTGAGTTCAAATCCAGCCTCAGATACTTGACACTTACTAGCTGTGTGACATTGGACAAGTCACTTAACCCTGATTGCCTTGCCAAAAAATTTTTTTAAAAACATCCTGCGTTGGAATCCTGTCCCATACTATCTGTGCTACCCTGAGTAAGTCATTTAACTTCTCTCAGCCTCAATTTCTTTATCTGTAAAATAGAGACAATAATATCACCTGCCTCACAGGGTTGTTGGGAGAGTCAAATGAGTTAACAGCCCTTCACAAACCTTAAAGTGCTATTTAACTATTAGCTACTACTACTACTACTACTACTACTACTACTACTACTATTATTATTATCATTAGAAGATCTAGGTTCAAATCCTAGCTCTAACTATTTACTGCTTCTGAGACCTTGGGCAAGTCACAAACTGTCTGGACCTTAGTATACTTATCTGTAAAATGAAAGAGTTGGGCTAGATGACCTCAAAGGTCATCTGCAGGACCGACCATGTTACTCTTCCCTTGCATTTAATATACTCCCTTATCTCTCTAGGGCATCTAGCTGGCACAGTGGATAGAGCACTAGCCCTGGAATCAGGAAGACCTGAGTTCAAATCTAGCCTCAGACATGTACTAGCTATGTGACCCCGGGCAAGTCATTTAACTCTGTTTGCCTCAATTTCCTCATGTATAAAATAAGCTGGAGAAGGAATGGCCAACCATTCTAGTATCTTTGCCAAGAAAACCCTGAAAGGAGTCACGAGGAGTAAGATATGACTGAAACAACAACAGGTATTTCTCTGAGACTTCTGGGATCAAGTATAAAATCTTCTATTTGATGTTTAAAACTCTTTATAACCTGCCTGCCCCCCCACCTGTCTAGTCTTCTTACACCTTCACATATGCCCCCCCACACACCCTGCAGTCCAGTGACACTGGCCTCCTTGCTATTCCTCAACAAAGACACTCCGTCTCCCGACTCCACGTATTTTCGTTGGTTGTCCCCGTCATGCCTGGAATAATCTCCCCTCTTCTCTTCCTGTCTTCCTTCAGTTCCCAACTAAAATCTCACCTTCTATAAGAAGCCTTTTCTGATCCCCCTGAATGCTAGTGCCTTCCCCCTGATATTATACCCAGTTTATTCTGAATATATCTTATTTGTATATACTTGTTTTCCTGTTGTCTCCCGATTTATACTATGAGATCCTTGAAGCCAGGGACTGTCTTTTGCCATCCTTTGTATTTCTGGTACTTAGCACAGTGCCTGGCACATAGTAGGCACTTAACAAATGCATGTTGACTGACTCAAAGGTCCCTTCCAGTTACAAACTTGTGATCCCATAATAAACAATGTGAAAGGGCCTAGGATGGGTCTGATGAGCTTACGTGCTGGAGGCAAGGGACATGTACTTGTAAAACTGCATCTTTCAAAAACAACACAGTGATTTACTAGGTCTTACAAAAGGCTGAGTCTGTTTGCAAACTCTGGCTGCCTGTCTCATGGCTCAAGTGACAGAAAGCTTGTCCCAGGCAAAGGGCACAGCTGAGTCCAAGTGCTGCCAGGCCTTTTTTTCTGCCACCACCCCCACCCCCAGCCCCTGGGGGATAGTGGCTGTTTACCAGAACAGAGAAGGTGACAAAATCCCAAGGGTAAGGAACCTATGGCTCCCTGGCAACAACCCGGAGACAAATGGAATATGCCATACCCCCTAATCCAGAGTCTGAGACCTGCCTAGTGGAGGGCTTTTTCCCCATACCTGGAATATCAAACCAAGGCCCAAGACTTCTGGGGTCCTGATCAGCATGGAACTTAATGACCTCCCTCCTTCCCATCTTCCTTGTCCCCTCCCCACTGTGCCTTCCCTCCTTTCTACTTTCCTGGGTTCAAATCAGGAAAGGGCTAGAGGAAGGTCTAGAAAGATAAATGGGAGACAGGGAGGAGGCCCAAACTGCATGTAGGCCCCTTCCTCCACACCCCAGAATTGAGGGTTTCTCTCTCTAGGCCAGAAAGTCCATCCAATTTGGAGGTGATGGGGGGTGTCTCTTTTAAAAAAATTTTTTTTTTATTTTTAGGCAATTGGGGTTAAGTGGCTTGCCTAGGGTCACACAGCTAGTAAGTGTCAAGTGTTTGGTCTGAAACCTGATTTGAACTCAGGTCCTCCTGACTTCAGAGTGAGGGGGGTGTCTCTTAAAAGGATACATTTCCTCCCATTAATTGGACGAGCGAAACATCTCAGAGAACACTGGACTCAGAATCAGGAAAGAGTGAATCTCACCCTAACACTGTGTGAATTATGGGCAAATTGTTCAGCCCCCCTAAGCCTCAGTTTGCTCAGCACAAGATGGATAAAGAAGTCCCTCAGTACCCACCTCACAGGGCTGTGGTGAAGATCAAATGTAAAAGTATCCTTAAAACATTTTACAAATCTTAAGGCACTACATGTGTATGCCAGTTGTAATGGTTATCTTACCTCTCGGTTCAGTCGACAGACTTTCACCTTCATCTCCTCTGTTTCAGCAGCCAGCTCCTTGTTGGGCCCAGACCCTAAAGTCAGTAAAGGGGAAGGAGAGGTAGGTGGTTATTGTGGGGGAATCTGGGTGGCTTATAGATTGGAGAAGGTTGGATGAAAGCAAGGAGCCTTCCCTTATTTTTTTTTTTAACCACAGGGAGCCCTTGGAAGACCCTGGAGAGCAGAGAGATGGGAAGGAGGTGAGGAGAATCCAAGGAATAGGGAAGTGATTGATTAACTGATTGATTGATGGTCTTGGGTCTTCAACAATTAGTCAGTCAACAAGTTTTCATGTACCCGGACACTGTGCTAAGTGCTACAAGATAAGAAAGGCCAAAACTCTGCCTTCAAGGAACTCACATTCTAATGGGGGAGGTAACCTGCAACTATGTATGTGTAAGATATACACACTGAAAACAGGAAGTGATCTCAGACAGAAGACCCCAGTGGTAGAGGATGGAGGGTGGGATGAAAAGGGACTGAGAAAAGCCTCCTTTAGAAGGTGGGATTTGAACCGAGTCAAAGCTGGGCTCATACCTGAGGGAGGTGAATGTCGTCGAGGACGAGGCAGCTTGGGTCCTCGGCCAAAGTGGAAACTCTGAGATTCTCCAGTGCTGCTAGAGTCCTCGATGCCATCCACTACCCTGGGGAAGCCGGGGAGGAGGATGGGGGGTGGGAAAGGCAGTCGTTACAAGTGGAAAAAGCAGAGAATAGAGTGAAAGGACAGAAGGGTGACAAGGTCAGGTCAGTGGGGAGCAGTGAGAGGATACAGGGCACATTGGGAGATGGGTGAAGTGGGACAATGGGTGAAGCTGGGCTAAGGTGAGGGGTGTTGCAAAGTGGTCAGTGGCTCAGCAGTAGAATTCAGGAAGTGGAGTGAGTGACACAGTAGAAAGAACTTTAGAAAGTTGGGAAGAGGAATGAGGAGGACAGATTGGGGATGGCTGGCATCTCACCGGGGGCTGAGGTCCGGGGGTCCATAGGTGCCCAGTGGGGGGGATGAGCAGCTGAGGGGCCTTCCAGGCAGCGGGACCCTTCAGGGGGGCATGAAGGGAGGGGCTTTGGCCCCGGCCAGCCGGGGCAGGGGAAGGGGAGGGAGATAGGGAAGGGGAAGAAGTGAGGGCAGAGAATGGAGGCAACTCATCACCCAGAAGGCTGGCAAGGGAGCCTCTGGGCCGAGCAGGGCTGAGGCTAGGCAGCAAGAGTGGCCGGCGGGGTCGAGGGGCTCCCGCAGGCTCTGGGCCTCCTTCCACCTCCACGATGGATGATGGCAGGGTCTTGTCTGAGGAGGAACCGAAGCTGTCTGACTGGGGCTAAAGGAAGAGTGGGCCATTTATGGCCTCAGGGGCCACAGAGAAGATTGCCCCTTCTCTGAGTAAGGGAGCCTTCTTCTCCAAAACTTCTACAGCTTGAAGGAGCTTCTCTCTTTTCAAATGATTTTGTCCTAAGCAGCAGCTGGGCTGAGGAAAGATACAACTTCCCAACCCTTTTACCTTCTATCTATGTATCTATACATATATGTATACATACGCATGTGTATATATGTTTATGTATATGTTGCTGGGTTTTAGGACTACAAAATTTCTTTTAAATGACATAGATCCTGCCCTTAAGAGGCTTACTCTTCTCTGCCCTGAGCCCCTGGGGGTTCTCCCAGTCCAGCCCCACTCCCCAGGGGCACAGGTTACCTGAGAAAGGCGTGGAGAGCGGCAAAAGCGACTGAGACCCTGGAGAGAACACAGTGGGGATTGGGGCAGGGAGAGGAGTCAGTGTCTGAGAGATGCCACCTTGGTCTCTTCAAGGTCAACTCTCAGCTCTTCCCCCACCCTCACACTAGTACTCTTCAGAGTCAGACTGGGGAGGGGGTGGGGTAGAATTCTGACAGCAAAGGCTCAGGTACATCCTTTCCCTAACTCTGAGGTCCCCAACAGAGAGACAGATAGAGAGAGAAAAGAAGATAGAGAAAAATCTGGAGATGAAAAGATAGAACCAGAAAGAGGTAGAGACAGCAAAAATAGGATCCCAGATATAGGTACAGGAACTGACAGTGAAGGATTGCCTAGTACAAGGCCTCAGCACTGGTGGAAGCACTCAGTTAATATTTGATAAATGAATGGATGGATGTAAACATAGGAGATCAGCCAGATGAGCAATAAGGATGAAAGGTCATGATGAATACCCATGATGCTGGGGCAATATCTACATGTGAACATCTGCAGAGTGGTCATGTCTGGTTTTGGTTTTTGTTTTTGTTTTAGAGTGGTCATGTCTTAAAGGAGTCTGGCATGGGAATCCCTGCTGAGGGGCAGTATAAGTAGGGGTTTCAGGGGTAGGGGCAGAAAGAGCCATAATATGGTAGATGATATACATACGTGGGGGTCAGAGCCCCGGTGCAGGTTGAAGGTAAGGTCTCGGGTCAAGCCAGCTCGGAAGGCAGCCCCATATTCAGGATAGAGCCGCAAAACATCAGCTAGCCCTTGACCACTCAGCTGTTGCAAGCCACAGTAGGTCAGTGCCTTTACATCAGCATCCGTCTTCAGGGCACAACCTGAAGAGTCTGATCCTGATCCCAATCCAGGATCCAGTCCTGGCTCTGAGACATCTGCCCCAATCAGGTCCCCCTTCCCTGTGAGTGACATGGATAGTGGATGGTCAGTGTCTGATCAATGAGGGAGGCTAGAGCATGGAATGAAAAGAACTGAGGGGACAGCATTAATCAGGGGGAGGAGGAATGGTCAAAGGGATTGGGGTAGTGGTCAGTGAGTAGATGCGTACTGATGGCCAGTGTTTGGTTGAAGTTGTTAGGAGGTCAATAGATGGAGTGATTAATGAGGTTGTAAGGAGAATTAGTGGCTAGAATGATTTGTAGAGTTAGGGTATATCCAGTAGCTGGAATGATTGCTGAGGGGCATGGCCAATTACTGAAATGACCCTCAATTTATAGGCTGAGTAGTGAGGGTACGCGAGAGTCAGGAATTGAAATAATTACTGGGGATGGAGGATAGCCAGTGATTGGAATTATCAGTGGTTTTGGGGGAAGGTCAGTGGCTGGGATGATCATTGTCTGGAATGATTAGTGGAGGGAAGGAGGATATTTAATCGATGAAATGATCAGTGGGAATAGAGAATGATCAGTGGCTGGAATGGTCAATGGAGGTAGAGGATAGTCAGTGGATGGAATGATCAATGAGGGTGAGAGATGGTCAGTGGTTGAGGGTAGAATATGGCCAGTGGTCAGAATGATCAAAGGTGATCAGAGATTGTCAATGCCTAGAATGATCAATGGATGAAATGCTTAGCAGGAGTGGAAATGGTCAGTAGAACTGGTAGCCAGTTGAAGAATAGTCAATAGGAGAGTCACTGGAGGGATGTTCAGTGGGATTGGGAGAAGAGTCAGTAGGAGGATGGTCATCAAGAATTCCGGGTGCCCACCTTGAATTCTCCAGATGCCTGGACCTTTGGGTCATCCCTCAAGCCAAGAATGAGGGTCTCACCTAGAATAGCCAGCACCATGTTGTCCTGTAGGACTTCAAGTGATCCAGAGCAGACATAGTAGTATGCCTGAAGTGCATCCCCTCGTCGTAGTAGGTACTCTCCAGGAGCACAGAATGAGGTCTTGATATGCAGGGAGAGGGCTCTCAAGCAGCCCCGGCTTGCTGCTCCAAAGAGTGGCAGCTGCAAAATCTCCCGGTTCAGGTGCATCGCAATGTCAGCCCGCAGCTCATCTGGGAAGTCCTTTAGCAACTGCATAAAAAGCATAGGTTACCCTGATGCTGCTACATTCATTCACAACATGCTGGAAGATTGTAAGGAAGGAGATCTTACTTCCCAACCCTGATCACCCAGAAGTCCTTCCCCAGTTTTTTCTGCTGCATCTCAGCCCTAATAACCCATCTCCTTGAACAGCAATGACATCTTCCCCCATTTAGTGGTGATGGCCATACTCCATGATCACCTGGGCCCATGACCCGTGCTCACTCAAAATCCCAGAATCTTAGGGTTGGAATGGACCTCAGAGGCTGTGTCTAATCTGCAGCTAGACAATATCCCAAATAAGTGATCATCCATACTCTTTGTAGAGACTCATTACCTCCTAAGCCAGCCTATTCTACTTTGGGATAGATCTAACTATTATAAAGTTTTTATCGCCCTAATTCAAGGCTAGATGTGTCTCTCTACACTCCCCCCTGCCCCACTGTTCCTAATTCTGCTCCCTGGGGCCACACAGAACCAGTCTAATCTCTCTCCTATATGATACCCCCTTCCAATACTTGAAGACATCATCTGCTGCCTAAACCTCTTCTTCCAACTAAACAGCCTCAATCACTTCAACAAATCTCCATTTGATGTGAACTCAAGGCTCTTTTTTTTTTTTTTGGATGAGGCAGTTGGGGTTAAGTGACTTGCCCAGAGTCACATAGCTAGTAAGTATTATGTGTCTGAGGCTGGATTTGATGAACTCAAGACTCTTCATCATCTCGGTCACCCTGCCCTCAATTCTCTTCAGCTTATCAATGTTCTTCCTAAAATGTGGTGCCCAGAACTGAATGTAGCAAAGTTTTAGAGGCAGTCTTACTCTTTAATATAGTGAGACTCTCATCTTCCCAGTCCTAGACTCTATGCCTCTCAGTGTAGCCTAAGATTTCATTAGTTTCTTTTTTTTTCTTTTTAGGCAATTGGGGTTAAGTGACTTGCCCGTGTCACACAGCTAGTAAGTGTCAAGTATTTGGTCTGAGGCCGGATTTGAACTCAGATCCTTCTGACTTCAGGGCCAATGCTGTATCCACTGCGCCACCTAGCTGCCCCAAAATATTCTTTTTTTTAAAAAATTTAATTTTTTTTCATCAGTTTCTTAAAAGTCATGTCATACTGCTAGTTTACACTGAACTTGTGGTCCACTAAACCTTCAGGTCTTTCTCGGACCCACTGCCACCTCACCACACCTCCCTCATCTTTGATTTAGGAACTTGGCAGCCGTGTATGAATTCTAGCCTGGCTTCTCATCTGAACTTAGGGGGTAGGGTGCATGCAGATGATGTGCTGACCTCATTGGCATCAATGCCACTGTTGACAGCCCATGTGGTCTGGAAGTATTCTAGCATGCGCTGCTTGAGGGGTCGGGGCAGGCGGTGCACTCTGATGAAATCCTTCAAGTCTTTCATGCGTGTGTGGTAGAGAGAGCGTCGGGAGTACATGCGTTGGATGATGGCTGTCACGTTTCCAAATACCACAGCATGCATTAGTGCTAGTGGTTAGAGGAGACAGAAATGGCATTTCAGAGTCAGGTAGGGGCAAGACTAGGCTTCTAAGGGCAAGGGGTGGGGGTCATTCTCAGGATAGAGGGTGGCCACAGCAGGTTGCTTTGAAGGCAGTTTCCTGGGAGTAAAAGAAGTGAAGGGGGTGGGTCATGGCTAGAAAGAATCCCCTTGACATTAAGGATCCCTTGACATCAAAGATTTCCCCATTCCTCTCCCAAGAGACTTTGTGTTTTCTGCTCAGGCCATCTGTAAATCCCACTGACTGACATACATGTTGTCTGGTGGGGCCATACCTCCTGACCTCCCCATGGAGGAAATTAACCTAGGACATGGGGACTGGAGAGTCACAGAGCCAAGTAGAGTGAAAGAGTGAATTATCCTTAGACTTCTGAGGTAGGGAGGTGAGGGAAAGTAGAGGCCCAAAGCCGTTGGACAGAGAGAGGGTCTCACCCCCAATAAGCATGGTGCAAATGGAGAAAATCTTCTCTGCATCTGTGTTGGCACAGACGTTGCCAAAGCCGACGCTAGTGAGGCTGCTGAGTGTAAAGTAGAGGGCAGCAATGTAGGCACTACGCCGGGAGGGGCCACCCATGGCTGAGCCATTCACATAGGGAGACTCCAGCCTTTTGCCCAACTCATGTAGCCAGCCTACAATGGGAGATAGGAAAATAGAACAGCTTCCAGAGACCTGTGATGCCACCCACCAACAACATTGGGCAGGGTAGTAATGATGGAGGGAAAGGACAATTTAGCTTGAAGCTTATCCTAAACTCATATGACCTTAGACAAGTCACTTAACTTCAGTTTCCTCATCTGTAAAATGAGAGGATTAGACAAAATGATCTCTAGCTTCTCTCCGGCTCTGAATCTATGATCTAAGAACCTTCTACAAGACTGATGAACATCAGAAATTAGGGGACTGTGGCCAAGGTATGTGTGTGTGGGTCCTCTTTCCCAAAGCCTCAGCTACTACCTTGGGGTGGGGGACTTGGGAGAGATTATGGAGAAAGTAAAGATTTGGGAGGGCTCATGGAGCTGAGAGGGCTAGTTAATAGAGCCTGTAGGATTGGGTTATTTCAGTCCAGGTGTCCTGACAGGGGTTATTGAGAGGGTCCCGTAGGAAGTTGGCTGGACATTCTAGAGAGACTAAAAATTTCTGAAGTGGAAGAGTGGGGACTTCCCATGTTAGAAGTTTAGTTAGGGCATTGGGGTCGAGAAGGAATCAGGAATCCAGCACTCACCAATGTCCCAGACCAGTGGGTCATTAGCCTCCATCTCCTTTCGACCAATGACATACCAGATGCAGGCCATCCAGTGTGCCAGCAGAGCAAACACAGACATGAGCAGGGTGAGCACCATGGCACTGTATTGTGAATACCGATCCAGCTTCTGCAGCAGCCGCAGTAGCCGCAGGAGACGTACTGTCTTCAACAGGTGTACCAGCGACGTCTGGGGGAGAAAAGGCAAAAAGAGTTGGTAGAACCCCAAGCCTAGACTGTACAACCTCTCCTTGTGGTCCTCAGGGGCCCCAGGCAAAGCCTTGCCAGTCCCACTTTATCCCATCCGGCAGTGGTCTGGCTTGTTACTCGGAAAGCAGAAAGGACAAGATAGCACTACAATAGAAGGAATAAGATAATAATAATAAATTGATCATAGGATCACAGTCCTAGAGCTGGAAGGGACCGCAGAGACCGTATAGTTCTATCCCCTTCATTTTCCAGATAAAGAAAACAAGGCCCAAGCAAGAAAATCAACTTTCCCAAAATCACACAGGTAGTGAGCTTCAGAGTAGGCATTGAACTCCAGGCCTATAATTCCAGCGCCAATGTTCCTTCCACTGTATCATACTGACTCTACTAAATCTATAAGCATTTATTAAATATCTACTATGTGCTAAGCACTGTGCTAGGGGTAAAAACACAAAAATGGACTAGTCCCTGCCCTCAAGGAAATTACATTCCATCAGGAAAATAACACAAATAAATAGCGTACAAGTAAATACAAATATTGGCAGTGGAGTGGGGAGATCAAGAGTACATAGGTGGCTCAATGGATAGAGTGCTGGACCTACAGTTGGGAAGATCTAGGTTCAAATCCAGCCTCAGAGATTTACTAGCTATGTTACCCTGGGCAAGTCATTTAACCCTGTTTGTCTCAGTTTCTTCATCTGTAAGTGAGCTAGAGAAGAAAATGTCAAACTACTCCAATATCTTTGCCAAGAAAACCCCAAATAGGGTCATAAAAAGTCAGATATAACTAAAAAACAATTGAACAACAACAATAAAAACACTGGCACCTTGAGGATGAGGAAAGGCTGCATGTGGCCGGTGGCTCTTGAACTGAGCTTTGAAGGAAAGTAGGGATCCCAAGAGTAAGAGCTGAAAAGGGAGTGCACTCCCAGTGTAATGGAGTTTTTATGCATGCCCAGATCACCTAAGATGGAGGTAGCCAAGCAGAAGATACCAGGGACTGGCTTCTAAGAAAAGACATTCTGTGTTCCCCTACTACACACATGAGAGCAGCCTCTTTCCATTGGCTGGGTGTTTAATTCCACCTGATGGAGACCCAGTCACTCTCTTTTTCCTGTGGAGTGAATACCCTGTTCACCTAAAGCAAAGCCCCCAAGCACTAAACTGAAGGTTGGGAAAGAGGGAAGAGTGTCAGGGAATAGCCTGTGCAAAAACCCAGAGGCAAGAGATGGAATGCTGCGTTTTTAGAAGTCAACCCAATATGAATGGAACTCAGAGTTTTGGGAGAGAGATAATGTGTGTATTAGCCTAGGGCAACAAGGTGAAGCCTGACTGTGATGGGCTTGAAATACCAATCAGAGAAGTTTGTGTTGCATCTTAGGGCTTTAGAGTAGGGAACCCCCGGTACTTTTTGAGCAGGGAACCTGTGCTTTAGGAGCGTCACTTTGGTAGTTGTGTGGAGGGTGAAGAGGTGAAAGACTTGATTCACGGAGACCAATTAGGAGGGCATTGCAATAATCCAGCAGAGAGATAATGAAAACCTGAACTTGAAGGGAGGGAGAGAATTAGAAAGAGGTAGATGTGGAAGATTAGACAAGATTTGGCTACTCATTGAATATGTGAAGGAAAGTGAAAAGTTGAGAATGAGTCTGAGGGTGGGTTACTGGAATGACAGTGGTGCTCTAGACAGAAAAGGAAGAAAAACAGGGGGTATTTGGGAAGAAATAAAGTGAGCTCTGTTTTGGACATGTTGCGTTTGAAATGTTTATAGGACATTCACTTGGAAATGGCCAATAGGCAGTTGATGATATGGGACTGGAGCGCAGGAGAAAGAATAGGGCTAGATATACAGATGTGGGAGTTATCTGCATAGAGATGATAATTGAACCCATGGGAGATGTTGAGATCACCACGGGAATGTGTAGAGAGAGTAGAAGGCCAAGACAGAGCCTTGAGGTACACCCATAGTTAGGGGGTCAAGATGTTGATGCAACAAAGAAGACTGAAAAGGAATGGCCAGATAAGTGGGAGAGAACCAAGAAAGATAATGGATAATATCATAGAAACCCAGAGAATAGAAAGTACACAGGAGGAGACGATGGTCAACAGTGTCAAATGCTGTAGAAAAAAAACAAGAAAGATGAGGACCAAAAAAAAAAAAAAGACCATTAAGAGATCGTTGCTCTGGGGCAACTAGGTGGCTCATGGATAGAGCCACTGGCTCTGGAGTCAGGAGCACCTGAGTTCAAATTCAGCCTCAGACACTTACAAGCTCTGCAACCCTGGGCAAGTCACTTAACCCTGATTGCCCCCCCCCAAAAAAAACCCTTCAAGAGTGTTCATTATTCTCATTCTCATCCAAGTGACTTCAGTGATATAGTGGAAAAAAAGTCAAGATTCATGGGGGCTCAAATCCTAGTTGTCAGTTACAAGCTATGAGACGTTGGACAAATCAAATCCTAGGCTGCTCTAGACCTGTTGCCTCATCTGTAAAATGAGTGGGTTATACTAGGTTATTTCCGAGGTCACTTGCTGTTCTAAATCTCTGATCTAATATGTTTGTGAAGCATTTCTAGTAGTCCAGGGGTAGTTAGCCTGGGACAACAAGGTGAAGCCTGACTGTGATGGGCTTGAAATACCAATCAGAGAAGTTTGTGTTGCATCTTAGGGCTTCAGAGTAGGGAACCCCCAGTACTTTTTGAGAAGGGAACCTGTGCTTTAGGAGTGTCAGTTTGGTAGTTGTGTGGAGGGTAAAGAGGTGAAAGACTTGATTCAGGGGGACCAATTAGGAGGGCTAGCTCTCTGAGTTGGGTAGAGGAAAGGACATATTGGGAAATCAAGATGATGTCAAAACAAAAGATAATAATAAATTCTCTTCTCCCCAGTACAATTTGGATTTTGATATCATTATTCAACTGAAACTGTCCTCTCCAAAGTTACAAATGCCACACTCTCTTGATCCTCCTATCTATTTTGCTGTTTCTCAATCTTCTTCATCTTCTTTAATGCATCATCCATGTCTTGATCTCCTAACTAATCTCCTTTACTGGTTCGTCAATCATGTCACAGCCCACTAAATATGGGTGCCCCCTAATGCTCTGTCCAGGATACTTTTCTTTTCTCTCTCTTGGTGATCTTATTACCTCTTGTAGATTCAGCTGTCATCTCTATGTAAATGATTCCCAGATTTATAAAGCCAGCACTAGTCCCTCTTCACATGCTACAAATATAGCATCACCAACTGCCTTTTGGACATTTTGAACTGGATAACTTCTAGGCATCTCAAACTCAACAAGTCTAAGCCACAACTCCTTAGCCTTCCCCCTAAATCCTCCCCTCTTCTGAACTTAGCTATTACTGCTAAGTATACTATCATCCTCCCAATCACCCAGGCCCACAACCTCAGTTTTTTCCTTGTCTTCTCACCCAACATAGCTAATCCAGAGGCAGCTAGGTGTTGCAATGGATAGATGCCTGGGCCTAGAGTCTGGAAGACCTGAGTCCAAATCCTAGCTTAGACATTTACCAACTGTGTGACCCTGGCAAGTCATTTAACCTGTGTCTCACTTTCCTCAACTGTAAAATGGGCATAATATCATTTGTTATCTCTCAGGATTGTTGTAAAGATCAAATAAGATAATATTTATAAAGTGCTTGGCACACAGTAGACACTTAAATATTTGTTTCCTTCCTTCTTTCCCACATTTCCTCCTTCCTTCCTTCATTTCCTCCTTCCTTCCTTCCTTCCCTCCCTTCTTCCTTTCTTCACCCCTTCCTTCCTTCCCTCCTTTTTTCCTTCCTTCCATTGCCACTGAATGGATTCCTGCCATTTTTGCCTTTACAACATCTCTCTACTTGTCCCCTTCTTTCTACTCACCTAGCCACTACACTAGTTTAAAGGGTCTTCATCTTCTCTTACCAAGGAAAATGAGGCAAATGACTTGGAAGAGCACTGAGGGCTATGTGGACCAAAGGTCACACTGAGAATGAAGAATAAATTCAGGAAGAGTGAGGAATAGGGAGAAATAGAAAGATAGGAGGTTATGGTCAGATAGAGGAATAATAATAGTAACCTTTGTTGTTGTTCAGTTGTGTCCAACTCTTCATGGCCCCATTTGGGGTTTTCTTAGCAAAGATACTGGAGTGGTTTGCCGTTTCCTTCTCTAGTTCAGTTGACAGATGAGGAAACTGAGGCAAACAGGGGTAAGTCACCTGCCCAAGGTCACACAGCTAATAAGTATCTGAGGCTGGATTTGAACTCAAGTCTTCCTGACTTCAAGCCCAGCACTCCATCCACTGAGCCAGCCAGTTGCCCAATAATAATAACTACTTACATTTTTATAGTGCTTTAAGGTTCACAAAACACCTTCCTCACACTGGACCTTGTGGGGTAGACAGTATACCATTTTATAGATGAGGAAACTGAGGCTCAGAGAATGTAAGGGACTTGTCCCTGGCTAAAGGGTTCATAAGAGAAGTGGTGTGGTGTAGTCGAAAAACTACTGGGTGGATTCAAATCTGAGTTCTACCACTTACTATCTGTGTGACTTTAGGCAAATTATTCCAGTCTCCTCTGTAAAATGACAGACTTGGGCCTCTCATATATGATCTCTAATGTCCCTTCCAGCTCTAGGATACTAAGTGTTGTAGCTGGATCTAGGATTTTGTGGCTGTCCATAGCAGAAGAAAAGGGAATGAGGAAAGAGAGGTATAAAAAGCAAGAGAGAGCTTTCCTTCTTTATGACCTCCAGAAAGAACCTATCCTACCCAGAGGCAAGGAAAAGATAAGATAACCTCTGACGAAAACCTTGCTCGAAACCCCTGGACTACTAGAAATGCTTCACAAACATATTAGATCAGAGATTTAGAATAGCAAGTGACCTCGGAAATAACCTAGTATAACCCACTTATTTTACAGATGAGGAAACAGGCCTAGAGCAGCCTAGGGATTTGATTTGTCCAATGTCTCATAGCTTGCAACTGACAACTAGGATTTGAGCCCCCATGAATGTTGACTTTTTTTTCCACTATATCACTGAAGTCACTTGGATGAGAATGAGAATAATGAACACTCTTGAAGGGACTCAGAGCCATTTATGATTGGACACATATAATAGGCACTGGGGCAAATGCAGACATGTAGAAGCTGGTACAGATATGTGAGAATATGGGTAGCCAACTAGTTTGGGGACCCGCTCCTCTTTTCTCCCTTTAGGCAAGATAATTACTTCTAGTATCTCAGGGCCAGGTATGGAGAGAGGAAAGGGAGGAAGTTGCCTGGTTAAAAACCCACATCTGCCCTTTTGAAACCCTAAAGTGAAATACAGGGGGTAAAGAGGGGAGCAGACAAGGGTGCTGGTACGACCTTCCTCAAATCTCTAGGCCCCAAACACATAACTCAGGGGAGCAAATTTCTAACCTGGGAGGAGAGAAGAGGGGAGAATGCTTCAGCATCCCCATCCTAAGGCAGGTTAACTCTTTTAGTCCTGTGCTATTTGTCTTGAGGTGCCAAAAGAGAGGAGTAGGTAAATGTCTATACACTTGTGCATTCAGATAGTTGAAGGTATATATGAGCATGATCACTTACATCCATGCATGAGAGTTCATTCAGGGTTCAAAGTACACACACGTGTGTGGGAGCATGCACATGTGTGTGCAGAGCTGGGAGATGAAGCCCACAGCCTGTTGGCGGCTGGTTAAATCAGGGTTTGTGTAGGCGGCTTCCTGCTATAGCTAGCTGGAAGTGCAGCAGGCAGAGAAAATCAACCTTCCAACCCTACTCCCCTCAGATGGAGGGGGGCCCAAGGGACCCCATGCCCCTCCTCCTCCACTCTCTCTGCTCTAGCCAATTGGAGTGACCTTATTTCTCTGCCAAAGGGCAAGATCTTGAAGTCTCGATCCCAGAACTGGTCTTGCTATTTGCTCACCTCTCTGTTTATCCCTGGGAGTAGAGGGAGAAGGTGGTTCTCAAAGGAAGATGTCAGAGAAAATAGGCCTTGGGGGCAATCTAACATGAGATAATCCTCTGCTCCATCCTGATTCCTTGCCTTTTCACTGGATTTCCTCCTTACCTGGAATTGTCTCTCCTCCCCTCCACACCCTGGTTTTGCCTAGCTTCTTTTAAGATGCAGCTCAAATCTTATTTTCTACTGGACTCCTTTCCTAGCTCCCTAACTACTAGTGCCTTGTCTCTGAGATGATCTTTCATCTATTATGTATAGTATACATCACATACATATATTATATATATATGCATGTGTCGTTATTTGCATGTTGTCTACCCCATTACAATGTGAGCTCCTTGTTTTTGCCTTTCTTTGTGTCCCCAGCTCATAGGACAATGCCTCAAACATAGTAAGTCCTTAAAAAATGCTTGTTGATTGGGTCCAAATGCAGTATTCTTTCTACTGTACTTCACTGCCTCTCATTGTCCAGTCCCCTAATATTACAGAAAATGAGGCAGACAGTTGAGAAATGACTTGCTCAGAATAGATTACTCAGCTAGTTAGTGTAGACTCAGGACTAGAATCCAGTTCTGCTCTGGTGTTCTTTCCCCTCTACCACACTGACTTCTCTGATCATCTTGTTTTTGCTTTTCTTTTTTTGGCTAGGCAATGGGGTTAAGTGACTTGCCTAGGATCACATAGCTAGTAAGTGTTATGTGTCTGAGGCTGGATTTGAACTCAGGTCCTCCTGAATCCAGTGCTCTATCCACTGTGCCACCTAGCTGCCCCTTCTCTGATCATCTTAAAGAGAATTTCTCCTTCAGAACCCTCAGATGGGATGCCACTCATACACTACTACTGTTTATTTGTTCTCTTTTACATGCTATGTCATACCCCAAGATAGATTATAAACACCTTGATGGCAGGGACTCCATGTTACTAATTTTCTATCTCATATAGTATCTAACAAGGTTCTGGGCACATAGAAGATATTCATTAAATAGCTGTTAATGAATTGAAAAGGAAAACCTCCTCTTGGGAGGGAGTATTGGTCTGAATTTGGAAACTTACAACCCCTCAACAAGAGAAACTGGTATGAGGCCTGGATTTGAAGATCCCATTTGGTGTTTTACATGAAGTAGGGATGGGGAAGATATTGGATCCCAATTTGAGGATACTAAAACCAGGAAGAGTCTGAACTTCCCAGTCTGAATCCCATGGGAGGTCACTTACGACAGTAATGTTGAAGGCATATAGCAGGTCAAAGGGCAGAGCAGCAATGAGGTCAATGAAGAACCAAGTGGCCAGATAGTGAAGGCCAATGGAGCGAGGGGCAGAGACAACTTGGCCTGATTGGGACACGTAGGTGGTACGGAAGTTCAGGATAATGTCTGGAGAGAGAAAGGGAGAGAATATGAATGTCACTCAGGGAGTTCTTTTGGTTAGAAGGATAGGAATATTGTCCACCCCCTAACCAGTCCTGGGAACTTTAACCAAGGAGTTAAGGAACTAGAGTCTCATTAGGGAATTGTAACTGGGTCTTTAGGGTTGGAAAGGTTACTAATGAGGAGGACAGACTATAGCTAGGTTGTTCTCTAGGTGAGATGAAACTCCATGCTGGGATCCCAGAGACCTGGGGAAGGGGGTGGGTCCTGAGCCAAACTCTATTCTGGACACCAAGGAGAGGAATAGAATACAGATGGGTCTGAGGGCTTAAAGGAGGGTTGGAGTCTGGACATGGGTGGGGGATTCCAAAAGCTGCTGGGGTGGGCTCTGACCGAGGATGAAGAGCATCTCCACAACGATGTCACTGACGAGGGTGTGCCGGGTGGTGATGGGGCTGTCATCGGCGCCTGAGAAGCAGACGTTGTAGGGGACGGTGATGGCCACATAGAAGGTGGCAAGGAGGATGAGGCCATCCCAGAGGGCCTTGGGGACACTGTAGTGAAGGAGGAGGCAGCGAGACCCCCCCACAGAGGCTACCTTGTATTCAGGCACTGACGGCTTCGGTTCAAACACGTTCTAGGGGAAAAGGAATCGGGGCTGGGGGGACACTGGGGGAAAAAGGGCTGGGGGAACATTGGGAGGGGGGGCAAGGGGAATCATGAGGTAGAGGGACTGAGTCTGGGAGGTCTGGGAAGAAGGAGGCAGAGGCTAGGGGTTGTCCAGAACGCAGAGAAAGAGGTCTCTGAGTCAGTGTGACCCTAGTTAGAGTCCCTCTTCCCTGGCTCTGTAGCTCTGCTCCTCTGATTTGCTCTCTCTCTTCCACTCTCAAATTAACCCCTTTTGGATTGAGCTGTTCATATTTCTGAGGGAGCCCTGGAGGGTTTGCTCACCCTGGCCTAATGCTCAGGTTGGGGTGTAGGGTAAAATCCCTGATTCCCAGTGTGTGAGGAGTAAATGGGGATGCTCTCCTGAAAGAGAGGTGGTGACAAGTGGAGAACATGACTCTAAGGTGTAGCCCTGAGAAGTGTCAGTGGAAGAAGATGAAGCTCTCTAGGGATGGTAATCTCACCCTCTTCTGCAGTCCTAGTGATCAGCACAGAATATTAGCTAATATAGTCACTTGCCTGGAACCAGTGGAGATGGGGAAGGGAAGGGTTCCATTGTAGGGGGCTTGTAATCCTCATAGGTTAAGTGGAGGACAAAGATCTATCTCCCTTATCCCAAGAGAAGGGGGCCTTATCCTTAGGGATCTCACCACCTAATAATTTCATCACATAGTGATATTGAGTAAAACTGTCAAGCAGTAGATAATGCCAGTAACTTGTATCTTGCCCTTTTGACGTAACAGAAAAGGAATGATGTCACCCTTCCCCCCACCCTGGGGGCAGGAATGCCATCAAGGCAGGGATAACATGAGGTAGAGAAATGGGGAGGAATAGGGCTATGGGAACAGTAAGACAAGATACTTGGGGGAATGGGAAACACAGGAAAAGGAATAGAGGAATTTGGAAAATGGGTGGAGCAGGGTACATTGCAGATAGCAGGCTATAGAGCCAAGTAGTAGAAACAATTGGAAGACAGGAAGACAGAGGATCTGGAAACCAAAGACTAGGGGAGGCTAGGGCAACTGGGAGATGACTCACATTGTTGGCTTTTACATTGCCCTGACCACGATGGCCAAATTGGGTGGTAAGCCTGTGTAGAGCAGTGTGACCCTGTCTCCTGGCTGTTCGAAGCCTTGAACTGCCTCCTTTCCTGCTTCTAGTCTTCTCTGCTGTGAGAGTGAGTTGGGAGAAAGCATAGTCTGTGAACCTGGGCAACAGCTAGAGTGTCAGACTTCTCACATCAGGTCTCCCTTCCTTCAATAAGCCTCCCCACGGTCTCCTTTTTACCCTATCATTCTCCTTGCCTTCCCCCTAATTACTGCAGTTACCATGATTATTCCCTCCAGGAGGACCCAGTCCCCGTCCCTGGCTCTGGGTGATGTTTTTGAAGGAAAAAAGGAATAGCACCACGTCCCCCATTTCATTCTTGATTGGCATCATATCCAGCAGACACCAGAAGGCTGAGCCTGGGGAGAAAAAGGAAAGATGGGTATCATAGGTAAAGAGCCCTGGTTGCTCTATCAGTCCCAAGACATCTTCCCCCAAATAACCCTTTCCTTTGGTCCAAGGAGGTGAAACAGGGGCTTATTCTTGGATGGCCAGAGGTTGGAGAATAATAGAATGTAATAAAATTAGAATAGAAATATCTTGTTCTATAGATTAGAAACATAAATAAAATTAGGATGTTAGGTTCCTGTAGGGTAGGGACTATCTTTCTTTTTGCTTGTATTTATATCTCTAGCACACAGTACAATGCCGGACAGCTAGAAAGTACTTAATAAATGCTCATTGACTTGACTTTTAAAATGTGTGTTGACTAATAACTGATGTCAGTATAACATTTTAAAGTTGTCAAAGCACTTTTTGCACATGACCTTATTTGAGGCTCACAACAATCCTGTGAGACTCCAGTTTTAATTATCACCCCCATTTTACAGATGAGGAAATAAAGGCTTTGAGATGGTAAGTGCTTTGTCCACCTTCACACAACTAATAAGTGACAGATGAAGGGTTTGAATCTGTCTTCCTGAATCTGTCAGGCCCTTTAGCCATTAGGCAACCCTAGGTCTTTTGGGGGTCAGAGAGTTCTCACCATCCTTTCGGTAGAAGCAGAGCTCAGCTCGGTGCTCCTGCCGACCCTCCAGAGCTTTGTGTAGCCGTTGCAGGGCAGGCTCACTGGTTTCAGGGCCATAGAGGAACCGGCAACTGCAGGTTTTCTGCATCACCTCAGTTCGGCAGAAGCCAGTGAGGTCGCAGAAGCCGTCAGAACAGTACACGATGGGATAGCCCCTGGGACCTTGAGCATTAGCCAGCAAGAAGTTACTGTCTGTGGGGAGAAAAAGGCTCAGGTTGGGGGTAAGGGTAGGGGGCTTCACTGGAGAAGGGAAGCTTTTAGAGAAGAATATCTTAGGTTCAAGATGGTTCTGGGGTTACAAACATAGGATCACAGATCCCAAGGTTTAGAGCTGTTAGCAGTTATCTAATCTAGCTACTCCCCCCCCGAACCACTATTTTATAGAGAAAGAAAATGACACCCAGGGAGGTTCAGTAAGTTACATAAGGACATGCAGGAAGCAAGTACAACAGGGATTCAAACCTAGGTCCAATGACTCTAAATTCAAGGCTTTTGCTACTACTGCACAATCTCTCCAGTTATTTCCCAGAAAAGGCTTAAAGCTGGACGTCCAAATTCTGAACCCTGTACCTGACATAGAGACATTAAGATAAAGAAAGACTAAAGACTGGTCTAAGGGATTGAGACTCAGGTATTATTCTCATGTTGGGAAACCTGATCAGTGGCTTAGAGGAAGAGGATTTGGTCTGCTTGTTTCTAGGCAGGAAAAAAAGTATTCTTCCCCATTTTATAGATGAGACCCAGAGAAGCTGAGAGATTTGCCTAAGGTCACAAAGTTAATATAAAATATGGGAATAGAACTAGAATCTACCTCAGTTGTTTTTTTAGAATTCTAGAATGTTGAAGCCCTGGAGAACCTGTAGTCCAACCCATTTCATTTTACTGATGAGGAAAATTGAAAGCCAGAAAGAGATATGACTTGCCCAAGGTCATACATTTGTTTAGTGGAAGAGTCAGGCATGAACCTAGATCTTTTGACTCCAGGACTTCTTCCACTATATCACAGAAACTTGGAGTGGTGGTGACAGTGGTGGAAATCTGTCCCTGATGCTCAAAATTTGAACAGCCCCCTTCTAGATACCCTCCCCACCCCTTTGGCCAATCCCCACAACAGGATGGGGGCTGACGGCTGGGGAGGGACGGGAACAACAGACTATTCTCAGTAGTATGGCAGGAAAGAGGCCAACACAGCTTGAGCTCAGACAGGGTCAGAGTCCAAGTAGAGGCAAGAGGCTATACATTCCCACTTAAGCTCCCTTCTCTTCTTAGAGTCCTAATAAGGGGACAAAGGAGAGAGGGTGGTAGTTGAAAGGGGTACTGGGAGCGGGGGGGGGGGGGGGGAAGGAGCAAGGCCTCCTGCTCTGCTTCCTCCCTCCATCTCAGGGCTGGTTGCCACGGTGATAGGTGCTATGGAAACTGGGGAGGCGGGAGGAGGGGAACGGAGAGAGGGGTAGGGCTCGAGCAGCTCCGCATCCACCCTCGGGTACCACTTTCCTTCCCCTCCCTCTTTCTCCAGGCCCAACCTCCCGAAGGGGCCAGCTCTGCTCCTTTGTAAGAAAAAGGGGAAACGTAGGAGGGGCTTTGAGGAGGCTATCCGCGGTCCTGAACTTGGAACTCGAGCTAGGTGGGATGCGGACGGGTGTAGTGAGACGGGTAGGGTGAAAAGAGAGCTCTCTCCTTCACTACAAGAGGGCAACCACCCCCTTTTAATCAATAAGACAGATTCTCGTTTTATGTTTCTGCTGTGTAGGGTGCACATGACCTTGGTCCTAGCCTCCCTCTGCACTGATCCAGGTCTCAGTGAAGTCCGGGATTTTATTTATTTATTTTTTTTTGGTGAGGTGGGGGTGGGGGCAAGGAGAGGAAGAAGGGAAAAACTGGGGTCCTCATCGCACAGACGAGGCTTCGGTTCCTCTTCTCTTTAATCTTTCAGTCCCCCTTTCCTCAGTTCCCCCACCCTAGATCCACACACACACACACACACACACACACACACACACACACACACACACGCCCACACACATGTCCATCTCCATAGCTCAGTCCTTGGGGGCTGGAGTTGAGAAACAGAGATTTAAGGGAGGGGGCAGCATTGGGCCTCGAAAAGACCTTTCCCGCCTCCGCTGCACAAAGAGCCTCCCCTATCCCCGCCCCACGCTACCGCACCCCTAGCAACTCCTGACCCTTTGCACCCACAGTCCAGTCTGACTCCAAGTGTTTCTGGCTCCCTTCACTGCTTGCCCCCACAAGAGGATCCCTGCCTCTTCATGTGGCCCTAGTCTAACGCATTTCTGATGCCCAGCTCTGACCTGTCCACCCTTAGTCTCTCTTTCCTTAGGTGTCGGGATGCGACTACTCTCCAGTGCCCTTGGGCTCCCCATCCCCACCTTCACTTGTATTTTCGTTAAGTCCAGGCTGACAGGACCCAGACAGGTTGCAATCTCCGTCCTGGCAACCTTGGGGTCGCCTCAGCCCCTTGCCCTCTGTCCCCAGCCCCTGCAGCGCTCATCCCCTACTCACGAGTGCCGTCGAAGCGTGTGGCGATCGTGTCCAAGAAGGTGTTCTGGGGGGCCAGCAACCCCTTCATGACAGGCATGGCCCTGGGTTAGAGAGATCCAAGTTCGAGGAGGAGGTTACAGAGGGAGGATTAGCTCGGCCGGGCAGGGTGGGGCGCGCTGCCGGCCGGGCCGGGGCGCCCCATGCGCCTGCCTCCCTCCCTTTCTCCTCTCCTCCTCTCCTCCTACGACGCCGCCGCCGCTGTGCTGGGCTCGGGGCTCAGCTCCTCTTGGCGCTGCAGCCCGGGCCACCCCGCCCCCCCAGTCCCTTTGGGGCTGTGTTCTTTCCCCCAAGTGGCCTGGCGAGAGCCCGCCACGTGGCCCCCACAGGGGGAGGGGCTGCCAAAGACAGCCCCCCTCCCCTCTCAGCAGCCCACTTAGCAGAGGTAGAGTTCGCCCACGCGTGTCTCAGAGGGAGCTGGATTACGACACGCCCACAGGGGAGTCCTGGAGAGTTGGGGAGAGGCTAGAGCTGAGAGAACGTCCCTCCTTCCATGTAGCCCCGCCTCCTAACCTGCCCTCTTCCTTGTAGAGAGCTCTTGGCCCCAGGTGTGACCCCGCTTCTGCTCTGTGAACCCGCCTCCATGCATGCTTCTGGGCCTCCCACTCCTGGCTCCGCCCTTGGGCTTCCCCCTCGCTTCGCCCACGCGGGACCTGATACTTGAGTTCTGCTACATGTTGGAACCCAGGAGCCCCCTATTGGGCCCTTTCTTTATTCATTCCCCCCAAATTAGCTCTTAATGAGTTCAAGAAGCAGCAGGGTGTGGAGAATTGGAGGAGCTGGGCATTCTACCTGTGTGACCTTGCGCAAATTACTTCACTTCTCTCCACTTTTTCCTCATTGGTGAAATGAGTCATTGGACTGGATGACCTCTTGAATTCCTTTGCGCTCTAAATCGATAAACTTATAATAGCTGACAGTAATATGTTCCAGAGGCAATAAGGCATAACGGATGACGTGCTGGGTTTGGAATCAGGAACACCTGATTTCAGATATGGCTTCACATAGTACCTTAACTATGTGACCTTGGGCCAATCATTTAACACAGACAATTCCCCAGAACACATCTTCTAAGTCAAAGATGGGTTTCAATCTGCTTTGACTTAAGGAGTTTCCACACTAGAAGTTCCGAAGAGGACTATAAATCCTTTTGATCATCTCATTTCAATCTTGTAAAGTGTATGATTTCACTTGGATCCTTCCAGCAAAGCTGTGAGGTAAGGCTGTTAGCCTAACTTTCCAGGTGGGTAGAGAGAGACTAAATGACTTGCCCGTGGTCTCACATAGGTACTAAGTATTGGAGGGTAGGTCTAATTCTAAGCCTAATATTCTTACCACTACACCCCACTGCTTCTCTATGGCAATGATCCACACCCAATCCTGTGTAGAAGTGGCTACAACTACATGGTTTGTTGAAGGAGGAAGATTGCCCAACTCTCAGCTTGTATTTTTTTTTGTTTTTACTGATATCTTTCGTTTTTACATCACCTTTATTTCCCTATATACTCCCACCCCAGAGCCTACCCAGTAACAAGGAACTTTTTAAAAGAAAAGAAAGAAATGCATTCTCCCCACTAACAGTAAGGAAAACTAACACATCAGTCAAGTCCTACGGTATATGCCACGTTCCACCCCCTTGGTCCTTCACCTCAGCAGAGAAGAGAGGGAGGTTCAGCTTGTGTTTCTTAAAATAATTATCTTAACATCTTCTTACTTTGACATCTGCCCCTCTCCCACACATACACACTTCTCCAGAATGGAAAGAGAAACTAGAGGAGATAGAAACCTAGAGAAGACAGAGACCATGTGGCAGTTAGTTGGCTGGATTATAAATCTCTAAAGGGTACTTTAGGGCAGAACCGGAGAGGCAAGGGGACTGAAACTACAACAGAAAGGTTATGCAGGTGGGATAGCAGAAAGAACTTCCTGACAGTGAAGGAGGGGACTGAGACAGATATAAAGGCAGTTCTAAGCTTTGTTCTTTCCCTCTGTCTTTTGCTGCAGGGGAACAGGGCAGTCAGATGGCAGTGGGGAGAAGGGACAAGGCCTAACAAGAGCCATTTCCATTTCCTATACCCTCTGTTGGTTTATTTTTTTGATCAAGGAATGTTTCTGTTAGGTTCTTCAGTCTCTGGCTGGGGCTGCAGGAGGATGTGGACAAAGGAAAGTGAGACTAAATCCCTTGAATCTGGTTCCTCTGGCTCTTGTCTCCCCCCCCCCCCCAATACTCATGGGCTGAAGATTTCAAAATGGTAGGCAGTGAGGATAAGATGTGGGGTAAAGCCTAGATTTGAGGTTAGAGGTGTGCTAAGGGTGACTAGGGATGGAATAGGAAGAACTTTGAGAATTAAAGGGTCGTTTTGGGGGCAGCTAGGTGGTGCAGTGGATAGCACTAGGGCCTCGGAGTCGAGGACCTGAGTTCAAATGTGATCTCAGACACTTGACATTTAGTAGCTGTGTGAGCCTGGGCCAGTCACTTAACCCTTATTGTCTCACCAAAAAAAAAAGCGACTTTTAAAAAATGTTACTTTTTAAAAATGTACATAAGAGCATAGATCTACAACTGGAAGGGCCTTGGAGACCAGTTCATTTAATGGATGAAGAAAATGAGACTTCTGGAGATTAAGTGGAAATCACACAGGTGGTAATTGGAACCCAGAGCCAGGATATCCTGTCTACTCAATCTGGCTGCCCCTTCAATCTCTTCAGCGCCAGCGAATCCGACCCTCCCTATTTATTTTTGTGCTAAATCGTTTATGCTGCAGAGAACCCTCCAAGTCTGGGGTGACTGTGGCACACGGAAGGGTATAGTTTACAGACCTTGTCTCAGACCCTTCTCTTCCCCCCGCCCCCCGCAAAGGTGGAAACCCCCGCAAAGGTGGAAAGAGGTGACCGCAGTAACAGAGAAAGGACACACATTCAGCGTGAGTCATCTTTATTCCCCCATTCTCGGAGGTTGAGCACAGACCTGGGGCTGAGAGGAGGCGGGGAGAAACCCACCTGTCTCTCCCATCTCCACCTTTGGGGCCATCCTGAATACAAGGAAATTAAGAAGAGCTCCCACCTCCCTAACCCCGCCCCTGTCACTGCCCAAACAACTGAGTCACTGAGCAGACAGTCTTAGGAATCTGGTGGTGCCCCAGGGCTTTGAAAGCCCAATTTCTGGGGGAGCGGCTATTGGTAGACTGTCGCCTCTGCGGCTCATGACCCCTGCCAGCTCTGGACAGGGTCCTGTGCTGCGGGGCTATCGGTACACAGATGCCCAACGCAGGACAAGGTGCCAGGGACCCGGGAGCAACTGCTGTAGCCCGGGGCTCCGGAGGGACTGGGAAGGGGCTCTCCGCCTGCGCCTGCACGGCGCCCCACTGTGAGGATGCCTGCAGCGTGGTTGCCGCTGGCTTGCAAGAGCCTCTGTAGTCGTCCCTGTAGCCCAGATAGGCCAGCCCTCCGTTTCCCCAGGGTGAGAATGCCGGCCGCGTGGTTGCCGGCTCCGTGTAGCAGGTCGTAGAGACGGCAGGAACAAGTTTTCTGTCGGCAGCAGTTGGGCATGGGCTGGGCGGCTGCCCGGGCAGGTAGCAACGCCGGGAGCACCAGCAACAGAAGCAGCAGCGTCACGGTGGCCCAAGAAGCCTAGGGTGGGGAGGGTGGAGGGAGAGGTGGGCACACTGGGCAAGCAAGGGCAAACCTCGCTCCACCCCCCAACACTGTCACCATGCTAGCATTTTCACATCTCCCATCCTCATGAAACTGTCATCCAGAAATCCCAATACTGGTGAAAAACAAGAGTTTGTAGAAGGTGCAACCACTGGAGCCCAGCTTTCTGTGGTGCCTTAGAGGACTAAGGACATGGATCAAAGTTCCACCCTTGGGAGGTCTATCACCTCCACTCTAGTTAAAAAAGGAAAGGCAAAGGGGTGGGAGAGGAAGGAAATAAATTGGGCTGGTCTGTAGGAATGGGCTTTAGGGGACTTCCATATTTCTATGAATGGGTGTGTGTGTGTGTGTGTGTGTGTGTGTGTGTGTGTGTGTGTGTGTGTGCGCGCGCGCGCGAAAGACTCCCATTTGCTATCTACCTCAATGTCCATCCCAAACAAATCTATTGGTCTTTCCTATGAGGTAGAGTTCTTCATCTTATTCTGTTTGCTTCCTCACCTGATCTGTCTCTCCCCACCCCCAAGAACACTGACATACAGAGAGTGTATTCAAATTCATAAAGAAATCAGAGAAAAGTCAGGATGCCAAGGATGAGTCTTTTTCATTTCTACTGTCTCTCCTGTGGGACCAGAGCTGCTGCTCTGAGACCTAGAATTATGGACTTAGCCACTCCTCACTTTCCAGCTGCCCGACTCGTGGCCTAAAACCAAGAATTGAACCATGGACCTGAACTAGGAACTCCTAACTCCTCCATAAGATCAGATGAGGCTCACCCACCCCAAGTGAACTGATAAAAATGTTTGCAGCCTGAAAGGCCACTTTCCCTACTGACACCTCCTAATCCCTTTCTTTAGATCCCTGTGGCCTTTACCTTTGAAGTGGCTGGATCCATAGTGCCAGGAGCTCTGGAGTAAGGGACAGCCAGAAGCATGTCAGGCTGTCCAGTCGGAGGGTGCAGAGAGCCAAGCAGATGCTGGGCAGCAGTGGCTGGGTGGCAGTGACTGGGCAGCTCTCACCCTGAGGCTTATAGTGACTAGGGCTTGTAGGGAGGAGGGATGGGCATCTACGCACATCCCCTGGATCAGACAAAGCCACAACTAAGAATACCATCATGGAGAGGGGCTCGTCTCTAGGCTGAGGCTGGAAGAATGAATGAAGTGAGGGCTTTGGAGATGGCTCTGGGTGATGTGGCCCCTAGCTTTCCCCTAAAGAAGATGGAAAGCTCCCTGGAGATGACACCAGTCGCTGGGCATTAATAAGGCAATTGCAGACCCAGGAATCTGAGAATACAAAAGCAGCTCCAGCTCTGGCTGGGGACAATGAGGCTGAGGGGAAGTGAGGGTCATTAGACTAATTAGAGGATAGGGTAAAAATGGGAGGGGGGACGCAGATACTGCATCTCGTCCTAGACATGATGCATAAGCCATATGTAGCGAGGGAAGAGGATGAATTGTTAGCAACTCTTTATTCTCATCTCTGTCTCTCCACGGCTCCAAATAGTTATTTCTCAGGGGAAAAAAATGCTTTTATCTAACCCCATCTTCCCTTTTTTTTTTCCAGCTCAATTCTTCCCTAGTTTCAGAAATATCCCCTTTTACTCTTCCACCCCACCCCACCCCACCCCGAGACACAGAACCATCATACATATAGGTCTACGTAAGTTTATTGTGAACTGGCTTGTTGACAGATTTCTTTGGAGGCATAAGCCAACTTTCTCCTGGGCCTAGGCTTGGGGACTGGTTGGGTTTCCTACGGTCTTTTAGCATTATTGACCCCACTGCCCACCCCTACCCTCCTGCCATTTCTACCCCAACACCAAGGCAGAAGGAATGACAGTGCAGTGAAATGGAAATAAAGAATAATGGAGAACAGAATGGAGAACATAGTTTGGCTCCTGGCTTGTCCACAAACTAGCTGTGTGACCTTTGGCAAATCATTTAACCTCTTTGGGACTCAGTTTCCTCTTCTCTAAAATGAGGGCATTAGCTTAGACA